TCATGGTACCGGGACCACAGCTCCTGCCCACAGACCTCTGTGCCAAGATGGTCTGCTGTCTGCTCTCTCTCTCTCTCTCTCTCTCTCTCTCTCTCTCTCTCTCATTTTTCTTAGACTTATCTTTTCTCCTTTTCTCCTTTTGTTGTGTTATTTTCCCTTCTTCCTTCTCTTCTCTTCTCTTTTGTTCTCTCTCTCTCTCTTATCAATCTCATTATCTGGATTTATTTAGATTACGTTTAAATTAAGGACTCCGTTTTCTATGGTAGGGGTAACTAGGTAATATTTACATAGTACTAGAGTTATTACTGTACTCGGCCGGGGTTTGTGTGTGCTAGTGTTTACGTACAATGGTCAACCTTGAGTACCTGAACATTAGACACCCTAGTTTATTTCATTTGGAGATAAAGTATTCGAATACTTCCTTGGGAGGTTAGGTTAGGTTAGGATAGGTTAGAGTGGTGTAGAGTAGGTTAGATTAGTGCCTGTTTAGATTAGATTAGTGCCTGGTTACATTAGCTTAGTGTTTGGTTAAGTTAGCTTAGCGTTAGGTTAGATTAGTGTCTGGTTAAGATAGATTAGAGTTAAGTTAAGACAGATTACCATTAGGTTAAGATATATTAGCGCTAGGTTAAACTAGGTTAAAAATAGCATTAAAATGTTAAATCATCAGGTTAAATAAACTAGGATATCTAATTCTTCAGTCAATCGTTTCCAAAGACTTACACGAGACAGATGCCAAGTGTAGCCAGATCATAAAGTGTCTGCCCACTCACCTGTTGTCGCCTCACCCCACTACCTGTGTTGGTGATAACGTATAGAATAAACACAATGGCGGTCCTTGGTTCAGATAGAGTGGTTCATTGTTTGTATGTTTTTGCTGTTTGTGTATATTGTTTGTATACCTGTACTGTTATATACATTGTTTGTATACCTGCAGTGTATATGTATGGTATGCACATTGTATTATTGTACTGCCTATATACATTGTTTATATACCAGCACTGTCTATATAAACACTGAACCAATATAAACTTAACAGAAAATTGTACTGAATAAATATCTTGTAAAAGCGTCCCTAGCAACCCACACCGTTCGTGGATGCTGATTGGTTGCTGGTTGCTAAGGGGGTCCCATTGGTAAAGCTAGTTTTCTTTAGTCGGATACGGGATAACTGTATTAGGTAGGTTGCTTCATTATCCAGAAGTGTAGTGGTGCTGTCAGGGGTAGTAGTGCTGCATCATCAGGGGGTAGTAAGTGGCATCATCCAGAGGGGTATCATCCAGAGGGGTCTTCATCATCCACGGGGGTAGTAGTGCTGCATCATCCATGGGGGTAGTGCTGCATCATCCAGAGGGGTAGGCTTCATCATCCAGAGGGTAGCAGTGCTTCATCATCAGGGGGTAGTGTTCATCATCCAGAGAGGAGTCCAGCAGTGCTGCATCATCCAGAGGGTAGCAGTGCTGCATCATCAGAAGGAGTAGCAGTGCTTCATCATCCAGGGGTGTAGTGCTTCATCATCCAGAGGGAGTAGCAGCTGCATAATCCAGAGGAAGTAGCAGCTGCATCATCCAGAAGGAGTAGCAGTGCCATCATCTTCATCATCATAATATGCCATCATCCAGGGTGTAGTGCTTCATCATCCAGAGGGTGTAGCAGTGCTCATCATCCAGGGGAGTAGCAGTGCTGCATCATCCAGAAGGAGAAAGTGTCATCATCCATCATCCATCATCCAGTAGTAGTGCTGCATAATCCAGAGAAAGTGCTCATCATCAGGTGTAGTGCTTCATCATCCAGGGGGAGTGAGTGCTTCATCATCTTCATCATCCAGGGGTAGCAGTGCTTCATCATCCAGGGGCCGTGTGCTTCATCATCCAGGGGGCATGCTTCATCATCCAGGGGCTAGTAGTGCTGCATCATCCGGTGTAGTGCTCATCATCCAGGGGGTAGTAGTGCTGCATCATCCAGGGGTGTAGTGCTTCATCATCCAGGGGGGTAGTAGTGCTGCATCATCCAGAGGAGGGCAACAGGTACTAGTGGTGGCGTCTGCTTTTATGGCGCTGTTCCTGCTTCAGATGCTGACATTGTTCTTGATGGTGCTACCTTATGTGGAGTGCTGGCTGCTGCTGGCTGCTGCTGCTGGCTGGTGCTGCTGGCTGGTGCTGCTGGTGCTGCTGGCTGGTGCTGCTGGCGTCTGTGTCCCTGCTGTTGTTAATGTAGCGTCGTAAAGAGAGGTATTCTGATCACTCCGATATCAAGGAAGGCCAGAGTGTGTCACTGTCGAGGTGAAAAACACATACTTACACACACACACACACACACACACACACACACACACACACACACACACACACGAGATTATTATAACATAATTGGATGGTGTAGGTGAGGAGGTTTAGCTCAAGAGGTCACGTGTGTAGATCCACCTTTCACCTGGAGTCTACACCTCACCCTGAGCCTACCTCACCCGGAGCCTACCTCACTTGGTATTGGAGGTAATGATTGGTAGATACTATAGTTAGAGAGGCATGGTCACGAGAGATGCTCACTTAATTCGTGTAGATCCTCAGTTGACTAAAATAGTTGTTCATTTGACTCACAGATGTTCAATTGATTCGTACAAATGCTCAATTAACTCACAGATGCTCAATTGACTCACAGATGCTCAATTGACTCACAAATTAACTAGCCGGCCGTAACTATGACAACCCAACTATTTTCCTCCTCCCAATATATCAAGTCCTAACCTAACCTAACCTAACCTAACCTAACCTAACCTAACCTAACCTACCATCACATGACACACACACGCTATAGCACAGACTGTCACTCCGGGGTCCCTATAAGAGCAAACACTTATATGGATCTTGCCAATAAAGCGAAATTACTGTAATACTCTAATAAAAAAAACACACCTCTAGCCACCAAGGAAGGGAGTTTTTATTTAGGGGCGTGAAAGAGCTAAGCAACGTGTAGGTATGTAGAGGTGAGGTAGGTGTGAGATTATATGGGATTAGCGTCTTTGTTTACTTTATATCATGTGAGTTTATGTGTACTTCTTCCCTTCCCTTCCCCCAGTGTAACCTAACCTAACCTAATCTAACCTAACCTAACCTAACCTAACCTAATCTAACCTAACCTAATCTAACCTCTCCTACCCAACCTTTCATACCTAATCCTCCCCTCACCCAAGCTCCCCAGCCTCTTAATACCACAGTACCTAACATAGGTATATTCACTGTTATCTCCCCTACCGTATAAGGCCTGGGTACCTCATTTACCCTGCACGACAACCAGCCCTATTTGGCAAGACGACGCCATGACAGAAAGTTGATACAATTTATGCAGTAAATGTCTTATGGCTTATGTCTTGTCGTGTGGTGTGTCTGTAAGTGTCTTGGTATGTCTGTGAAGTAAATGTCTTATGTCTTGTCGTGTGGTGTGTCTGTAAGTGTCTTGGTATGTCTGTGAAGTAAATGTCTTATGTCTTGTCGTGTGGTGTGTCTATCAGTGTCTTGGTATGTCTGTGAAGTAAATGTCTTATGTCTTGTCGTGTGGTGTGTCTATCAGTGTCTTGGTATGTCTTAAGTCAGTGTTTATGTACCTGTTCAAGTAATATAAACTTGTATGAATATTTTACTGAATTATCTGGTCTCAATAATCTATCTCTCGCTCTATCTATCCGATCTATTTACATCTATATATCTATCTTGTTGTATATATCTATCTCTGTGCTGTAAAATATATAATGTTTTCTCTCTTCTATGACCATTTTCTCTCACTGAAATAACTCTACGTATTTATCACCCCAGGTTTAGGCAACAATATACATCCTCCTGAGAATGTGAATAGTTTGTATAAGTCTTTTGGAATATATTAAAGACCTAAATCCATTTTCTATTCCATATAAACATTCTGTGATGTATGTTATGGTGTTCTGTGATGTATGTTATGGTGTTCTGTGATGTATGTTATGGTGTTCTGGGAGTGGTTCCTCAATGTCATCACGGGATGTGTTTTGTTTTAATCAATGAATGAATAGATGAATTTGACGTAGTTTTGAATATTTGTAGTGGTTGTAGGTGTGGTGGTAGGTGTGGTGGTAGGTGTGGTGGTAGGTGTGGTGGTAGGTGTGGTGGGTGTGGTGGTAGGTGTGGTGGTGGGTGTGGTGGTAGGTGTGGTGGTAGGTGTGGTGGTAGGTGTGGTGGTGTGGTGGTGGGTGTGGTGGTGTTGTGGTGGTGGTGTGTGGTGGTAGGTGTGTGGTGGTAGGTGTGGTGGTAGGTGTGGTGGTAGGTGGGTGGTAGGTGTGGTGGTGGTGGGTGGTGGTGGGTTGTAGGTGTGTGGTGGTGGTTGGTGTGGTAGGTGTGGTGGTAGGTGTGGTGGTGTGGTGGTGGGTGTGGTGGTGTGGTGTGGTGTGGTAGGTGTGGTGGTGGTGGTAGGTGTGGTGTGGTGTGGTTGTAGTGTGGGTTGTAGGTGTGGTGGTAGGTTTGGTTGTACAGTAGGTGTGGTGGTAGGTGTGGTGGTGGGTGTGGTGGTAGGTGTGGTGGTAGGTGTGGTTGTAGGTGTGGTGGTAGGTGTGGTGGTAGGTGTGGTGGGTGTGGTGGTAGGTGTGGTGGTGGGTGTGGTGGTAGGTGTGGTGGTAGGTGTGGTGGTAGGTGTGGTGGTAGGTGTGGTGGTAGGTGTTAATACTACCACAGTTAAGTTGTTCGTCACACAGGGCTGAACAAGACCGTTGTATAAGACTGGTGGTGGCGGCCACATTAATATTAGTACGGTATGTAAACAAGGGTACACCTCACATGGGCCACGGTCTTATTGGGCTTTAACCTTAACTGACCAGTAGGATTAGGGCCCATTGGGAACGGACCCCAATCCTAATGGTTTAAGCTAGGGTCCAGGAGGACTGGGGCCCATGTGAGCCGTCACCTGTGTTCACTGGAGGAGTGTGGCGTGATATGTAAATGGTGTTGTGTGTTGCTGACTAATATGGCTGTGTGTTGCAGGGGTCGACGGCGGCAGAGACTCTTCAAGCTCAAGTTCCACCACCAGGCGCTACCCCCGGAGTACCTCGACCACTATGAGGCCTCCCTGCGTCAGGAGCAACGAGCTGCGGCAGCCGCGGCCGCATCCTCCCCCGTCTCCACGCCCACCACCGCACGCCACCACCGCGAGGCCCTGGGCCCTGACCCTCATTCACCCAGGGACACGAGAGACACCCCAGGGCTTCAGGGTGGCGTACCACGGCGCGGTGGTCGTGGGCGTGGGCGGGGACGGGGACAGCGGACTCCGCGACCCATTACCATCCACGAGGCGGGCGGAGGAGCCACGGAGGCGCTGCTGCGAGATCTGCTGTTGACGCGGCCGCACCTGCAGCAGGCGGCGCTGCAGCAGGTGGCCTTGGCCCGGGCCCAGTCGGTGCCGTCCATCATGGTGGCCAGCCAGCACGGGGCGCGCGGCCCGCCCAGCCCCGGGGCCAGTGGGCCAGAGGACCACCTGCCCTATATGGGCGAGATGCTCCTGGACACACGGCCCAGGCGAGGCAGGAAGCCCAACAAGGCCGACATTACACACCTCATCTCCAAGAACTATGGCGGTGCAGGTCTGGTGGCTGCTGGCATGATGCAGGACGCTGTGGGCCTCCACCACCCCCTGCAGCACCTCCACCACCAGCTAGAGCATCACCACCATCACCATCACCAGCAGCACCAGCGGAGACAGCAGGAGGAGAGTGAGAGTGTAGGGTACGCCATGATGGAGCAGGAGTCTCTGGCACGCTCCCACAGCTACACCTCGCTCTTACACTCGGCCCTCACCGCCGCCGAGGACGAGCACCAGAGTGAACCTCTTAACCTGTGTGTGCGTGACGCCCCCCTCAAGTGTGACCCCGAGCACGCCGCCCACGGCCGCCACCTCACGCCCAATATAAAGTTGGAGCCTCCGCCACACATGGACGACGATGATGGTGCAAGCGGAGGTGGGATGAGCTCCCCAGACGTGGCGTGGGCGGCGGGCGGGCGGGCGGGCGTGCCCTCACACTGGCTCCACGACTACCGCCTCAAGACAGAGGACGGCCTTAGCTCTGGCCAGTCGACGCCCTCACTGTGCTCTCACTCCTCCCACATGCCCTCCCTCTCCCCCCCAGCCTTCCCTCACATGTCTCCTCCTCCCCCACTCTCCTCCCCACACATGCATCTCTCGCCTCACTTCATGGCGTCTCCTCAGTCTCCTCACTCGCCCTCGCCAGTGCCTGCCGCCTCGCCGCTGCCGCCCGGCCACCATCACCGTCACGTTCACGCCCTCCTGAAAGAGTCGCTGCAGCAGCGGCTGGACGAGGCGGCTCGGGAGAGACTGTCGCCCCAGGAGACTGTGGTGAGGGAGCGAGGATCACGGGGCGGCACCCGGGGCAGCACCGGGACACGCAGGAAGCGCTCCGCTCTCTTCATACCCCCAGCTGACCCCAGCACCGAGGTCAGCATATGTAAGTTTAAGTTCACCGGCGGCCCCAACCCTATACTGGAGGAGAAGAAGATGGTGAGTGTGGACGCTGGCGGCAACCTGAGGTACTCCAGTGGTGGCGAGCGTGGCATCGCCCGCGACTCGCGCGCCGCCGCCGCCCACCTGCGGCTCACTGGTAAACTTCTCGACAACATCACCAAGTGTGAGAAGGATGTGAAAAAAATCCGGTTGGAGAGCGACACGGAGGACACGTGTAGCCTGCCGGGGCTGGGCAGCACCACCACCTCCCCCGTGGCCACCCTGGAGCGAGGCATGCAGCCGCCCCTGCTGGCCCCGCCTACCGAAGACTCTCCCAAGCGCAAGAGACGCTCCAAGAAGTCTTCGGTGAGGGAGAAACTAGAACAGACGTTACGTGAACGGGGTCTGCTGATCCAGACACAGCAGGTGGAGTCTGCTGAGGGAGCCACCTACTGTAAGTTCCGCCAGCTGCGCAAGTTTACCCGCTACCTGTTCCGTAGTTGGAAGGATTATCTGCCGGGCCAGCTGCAAGAAGGAGGCGTTCCGCTGGACGGGTACAGCGACCCGCGTCACCCCCCCTTCCCCCACCACCTGGCTCGTGGCCCACCCACTCCCGACCATCGCTGACCTCGAGCAGAACATGTCACCACCCCGACCCACATGGGCATTTACACAGCGTGGAGACTGTGGGTGGTGGCGCCTGTCGGGCCCCAGGTTGTGACCCCCTCCCTCACCCCAGCCTCCCAGGTTGTGACGCACAAAGTACAAGAGCTTCCCGGGACCCCCGCCCCTACGCTCACCCTCCCCACATGCCTTACGCGAGGCTCCCTGGGGTGTCACTCCCCTGGCTCTTCTCCAAATCATCTTGGCGAGGCCAGCCAGCCAGGCTCCCGAGTCTCTCACTGTCCTCCAGCGTAGAGGCGGAGCTGTTCATAAGGGATCCCTTGACCGACTTAACATATCCTGATGTACGGTTCTCCTGGGATATGATTCTCCTCATATTTCCTCACCTGAATCAGTAGTACGGTAGTGAAAGTTTTATTTACCTTTCCTCATAACCCAAACCCAAGGACTCCACAAAGTGTGACCTAATATGATTGACGATCCCTTTTATCTGAGAGTGAAGGACTGGCATCCCCCCTGATGTCTACAGCCTTGTTCTGGGTCAACTCTCCTCCTGGCGGGGGACATGACCAGTGTCGCGGAGTGTTTCACGGTGGTGGCGCCATGAGGGGGTGTTGGTGGCCGTGTTTGTCTTCCACTACACACACGTCCCGGGGCCCTTAAGGCCACCTCCCCCCGGACACCTGACCACCCGTCTTAACTCCTCCACAGGTGTAATTATAACCACCTGTCCAAGAGACCCGTCCATGGGTGTAACTATACACCAGCCCTGCCTCTGTCCCTAACCACCTTGAGGCGTGATCACCCACCGCCCTCACCAGTATCTCACGTCAATGGGGGCCGTAAACTGCCAGTCTTCGATCCGTCAAGACTTGTTGTCCAGTCCAAACACGTCCAGAAGGACGAGTCCATAACATCCTCCATGATGACTCGTAACCCAGGAGGGGTATTGTGAACGTGTCCTTGACCATTGTTGCTGTGTCAGTCATCAGCGGTGCCTGTCATGCCTGGCCTCCAGGGTAGCGGTCAGCCCGTGACACTCATGACCAAACTCGCCCCAGTGTTTATGTTGGTGTATACTGTGAGAGGAGCAGCTTGTTTAGGGTGCGCCTGCTGGCTGTTGTGGGTGGTCCTGCCCCCTGGCGGCCATCTTTACTACCTGGATGCATGATCCATGTTTCTCATGACCTTCCGTGTGGGGGCACTGTCGGCACACGCTGGTGTTAGTCTTCTCTTCTGAGTAGTTGCTGAAAACATCTGCGATAAGGTGATAGGCGGGGCAGGCCCACCGCCTGAAGGTAATGAAATGCCGACTGTTGTAAAAGACTGTCACTGGAGTGCCTCCTGAACCTCACAGTGAGAGAGGAACAGGTCGGAGAAGAACCTCGTTCACCAGATGAAGGAAACTGACGCCGTCATGAAAAAATAGAGAGGATCGGTGTGAAGGGAACAATAGCCAGTGGTGCAGCAAGTGACGCTTCCTCTTAGGGAGGACTTGAAGTACAAATTGTTGTTAACAGTTTGCCGAGGTGAAGAAACAGCGACTCTTACCTGTAACATTCCACAAGTGGGAAGATGGCCACAAGGTGCTCCTACATCTGAATTAAACAAAGTTGTATTCATAAAGTTATTCATTCTAGTTGAAAATTGGTTCCAACTCGGCCAAAGTCTCCAGCACATCCGTCAGTGAAAGTTGTGAGGAATATGTGGTTTAAAATTTGATTTATTATATTGAGATATAAAATTGTCTCTTAATACAGTGAAGTAACGCATCATAAGCTGCTGGGTATAGAGTACAGTGTCTCTACGTGATGCTGTTGTGGTGTTTATTGTTATGGGGACTCAACAACACCGAGGACCCCACCTGACTGTTCATACCGGGGGGAGGGGGGGTGCTAACACGAGAGAGGGGAGGATAGCCTGACGCGAGGGAGGGGAGGATAGCCTGACGCGAGAGAGGGGAGGATAGCCTGACGCGAGAGAGGGGAGGATAGCCTGACGCGAGAGAGGGGAGGATAGCCTGACGCGAGAGAGGGGAGGATAGCCTGACGCGAGAGAGGGGAGGATAGCCTGACGCGAGAGAGGGGAGGATAGCCTGAGAGAGGGAGGATAGCCTGACGCGAGAGAGGGAGGATAGGACTAGCCTGACGCGAGAGAGGGGAGGATAGCCTGACGCGAGAGAGGGGAGGATAGCCTGACGCGAGGGAGGGGAGGATAGCCTGACGCGAGGGAGGGAGGATAGCCTGACGCGAGAGAGGGGAGGATAGCCTGACGCGAGAGAGGGGAGGATAGCCTGACGCGAGAGAGGGGAGGATAGCCTGACGCGAGAGAGGGGAGGATAGCCTGACGCGAGGGAGGGGAGGATAGCCTGACGCGAGAGAGGGGAGGATAGCCTGACGCGCGTGAAGAAGAGGACGTGTTTGGCAGACTATAAGCGAGAGGAAGGCCGAGTCTTGGTGTCCAACTTAAGTCTTTCATAACCTCAACTGGAGAAGCCATTAAACAACTAATACTCTCTCTCAAACTATCTTCAATATAATATAGTCAAAAGCTTTAAAAAATAAATAAATAAATATCATTGGCATTAAATTCAAAACTCCCCAAGGCCATTTCTCAACGGCTCGTAGGGTAATTTGAGATCGTAAGTCCAGATGTAATGGTGTACTTGACTGCCTGACTAAAATACCAGAATTACTCAGTCTCAAGTTATCAAGAGATCTGTAAAGGCGTAATTTTTTATGTTATTCTGAAATTCTGAATAATATTTGTTAATAAACTCACCAGCCAATTAGATACCTTCTGATAGTTGTACTTACGAGGAAAATTACACTTACGAACCTCTGAGGGGTAATAATGATCGGTTAGTCCACAAAAACACACACACGGAAAACAAAATAAACTATTCGCATTTTTGTCTGGACCATCAACACTTAGTATTTCTGATAATAACTTCTCAGGTACATATGTGTCCGCGGTTACTTGTGTTAATCTTTATGTAATTATGATCAAGATGCGTGTTATGTGATGTAATGTTTTGTATTATGGCTTTTTGTCCTGTAATATTGGATACAGTCTCTCTCTTACCAACACCCTCACCCTCACTCCAATAGCCAATCATTACACAGGAAAAAAAAGCCATTTAAACAAAACCTATTCACAATGTTAAGAAAATTCCACGACCTATTAGAGACGACGAATTGGAAAACTGGAAAAATAATGTCTTTAGATCCGTTACATAAGGGTTAAGATACCAGACCGTGCCACGAGTTACAAATTACCGTAAATACAGCAATAGATCTGCCAAGCTTGTGATAAAGAACAACTGGTTGGTCATTCCTGTTGGCCGTCGAGCCTTGTTAATCCGGTGCTAAACTGTTAACGCGATCAGTAGTGGTTGCTTGTGAGTGTAGTCGAGGGTGGGAAACGCAACGAGTACAATGTTGGTCAAGTACAACGAACGAGGCAACTTGTATTTCTATATTTTCATTAAAGTAGACGACTTAAACCAACCAAATCTAAACTAATCTAACCAAAAATACCCTTAAGTTAATTTAGGTAGGGTTGGTTTGATTGATTATGTGTCGTTTGAAAAATAAGTCCAATTATTTATATCCCTTCTGTTCGTGGTACTTCTCAAACCTAGTCCGTGTTGTGAGTTAAACTAGCATCCTGTGACCTTTTTCGTTGATTAAACTGTCTGGTCCTTTTTTTTTTATTTGTGTGATATTTTTTAAATGAAAATGTTTGATGTTTATTGATGAAGTTTTTAAAGGTGTTTATATAAGTGTGTTGACCACATTATGTAGAAAATAAGTCTGTTGATAATGTTAAGTGTTCAACAGGGACACGGTAACCAACAAGTGCTGATTTGTTCTTAGCAACATCGTCTCAGTGTGGTACAATGTTAATAGTGTGTCTGGGATTGATATCAAATAGTAATATTTTTTAGTATTGTTTAAATTCCTTAATATTTTCGTTATAATGTTATATTGAATATTTACGAACGCTCCAAAGTGGCATTTATATACAGATGAGAAGATTTTAATGGATGTGTAAGTACTATGGATGTACAATGAACGTGTATTTACAACATATTCCGTGGAGAAACAAGTGAGCATCAGGTTAACATGGATCGACAGTTCAATGTGCCATTTGATTCCCTGTCCGCCTGAATGTTATTTTTTGTGCTTCAACACCAACCAGAAATTGTGTATATTATGAGTTTTATGTATATTTATGCTCCATAATGCCTGTATAAATCGATATATGACTAATATATTTAGCAAAACCAGATTAATACACCATCTACCGCGAGACTAAAATAAAATACAAGTATGGTTTAGAAACGGGAGGTATACAAACTGTTTATACATATTCGGCACAAATGCAATATATATTTAGGTAGAGAAATAATACTTTGATTTTTATTTGTAATTAGAGATGATAAAGTATTTTAGAAATGTCAAGACTGTGTGGGATAGTTGTTGTTAAGGTAAATTTGAATTATACCCGCCGTTTACGAAGTTTTTAATACACTTACCTCAATAAATTCTCTCTCTCTCTCTCTCTCTCTCTCTCTTAGTACCATATATGTATTAATATGTACACTAATATACTTTAATATACCTCTTGAATATAACCTTATTTTTTTATCACTTTTGGGCATCCGTTTCTGATCTACGTCATCCTCTGTGATAGACTCAGAGTTTTTCACCAAAGACTTTAACGTCACTCGACACTCTTACGCTTTCCATTTATTTTTCACTCTTATTCATTATTCTTCATTTAAGGTCATTTGTGTTACTCTACATTTCTTTCACTCGTTACTTCACCTCCCCATTTCTTTCACTCATTCTTCCTTCACCTCCCCATTTCTTTCACCCCTTTTAAATACATCTCACCAAGGTTGTTATAAATCCAGGTTGAGTAAGTTAATGGTCTTTGCCTTGAGTTAATGGAGAAAAAAAAATATGGCGTAGGATATCATATATTAGGTGGGTTATATTTTTCAGTGTGTGAGATCAATTCCTTGGGCGGCATGACCCTCACAATGGACCAATATTATCACTATTTTCAGTCCAAAGTTCCCCCTCCATCCCTTCCCACTCCCTCCCTTCCCACTCCCTCCCCTTCCCCCTCCCTCCCCTTCCCCCTCCCTCCCCTCCCCGCGCATGATTGTAATTACTCCCTTGTATCGCCATATTGTTAACCCTGTTTATTACATTCCGTTTAATATACCGTTTTTTGTCATTGCCAAAATTCGTGTGTTTACGTTATGTGATGTTTGTGTGTGTACGTACCCCCTGACGTGGTGTTCCTCACTGTTGATCAGTATGAGGGGCGCCACTACTACCACACTGGGCTGTTAGGTCAACTGCTGAGGCTGTCGGGACTTTGGAAATCACTGTAGATGGCTGGTCTACCTAAGTGGTATTAAGTTTGGTTCGCTAGTCCATATTTAGCTAAATTATTTACATTTCACTTACTTTTCACTTTATAAATGAGATCAAATTTAAATGAACCCAAATTCTTTTAACAATCGACATTCATTCATTCATTCCAGACGATATAACAGTCCAGTGAAGTCGAACAATAAAGCTCCCGCTCAGCCAATCAGCGCGTAGTAATCAATGAGCCACACTCCCTTACTGGTTAAGAGGGTTGATGGCTCCTGCTAGACTTAGGCAAGACGTTTATATTCTTTATCACCTCTTCCTCCTCCTTTGATAGGGTTTGTTTTCCCTTATTATCCTCTCCCTCTCCCACCACTAATTCTCTCCATTCCATGTCTGTCCACTCCTCACCTCGATGGGTCAGATGTTTATTCCAATTTCCAGAAAACCAACTTTTTTTTTTCAGTTTGTCGATGTTAAAGTTGTTGTGATGTTCCTTTGTTTCCCTGTTAGGTTTACTCGCTGTCATAATTCAGCAAGAAGTAATGTTTAAAACTTGAGGCTAATTTATATCATGTTTTAAGAATTAGTGCCCAGGTACTCCAAGGATCGTACGCTAAGTTTTCTCCTAACTTATAATATATATATTTTCACTCACTTAAGCTCCAACACTAAAATAACCTGTAACATTAAAAATTTCACTTTAACTATAAACCTTCTCTCTTCTTAATTAAATACAAAAAAAAAGTACGAGCCTTTGAGAATCCGGAAAAATACACAGTAAAACAAGACACAATTTGTTGTTATGTTTACAGCAAAAAACATCGGCAGTGGGCAAGCCAACACGGCATCAGCTCCACTTCAGTATCCAATCTCGTTTATGGTTAATGTCCCGCTTTCTCTGATAATTCCCCTCACACTTGCCTCACTCAAGTACACTCGATAATTTATCTCGTGTAGAACATAAAGACTTCGAGTATGGTGTTAAAGACTAGAATATATTTTAAACGTCACCACTTCAGCTCCTACGTTGATCTTGATAAATCTCAATATGAGTCTAACATTCGGTCGCTCCTCCAGTTTCTAAGCCATGCGAGAGTAATTTGAGGGAAGAACTCGCGGGGTTACGTCTGTCTAGTGCTGTGGCAGCTCTAGTCTAGTTAGGGAGAATGAGCTTTATGGTAGGATAGTTTTAGGGCGAGTTTGTGGATTGTTAACCTGAATATCACCACCTTTGTTAACTCAGTGACACCCAATCCCATCTTTCTGTTTTCCTGAGCCAGAGTCCAATCTATTTGGTAAGGTTTTTGTCCCATGAGTTATTAAAAATACAAAAAATGCATTTTTTTTGTAAATTTGCAGAATTCTTGTGTTGCATTTATTCTGCAGAGGTTATGATACACTTTCTGCACCACAAATATTACTTGTTGACCATCAAATAAAAAACTCTAATGACTTGGTGTTTTATTTTATACTACCATGGAGGACAATGTTGAAAAAATGCACACATATATATTGTATGTTAATTTCCAGCTAATACTGTTGAACTCTTGATATATTTCCCGCGTTACTCTGCGTCAGTGTTATCGGTTTATCTCAGTTTAAATAAAAAACGAAGTTAGAACCAAAGACTATTATAAGAAAGACAAGATGACTTTAGTGTGCAAGGCGCTGGCGTTACCATCACTCGTATGTTGTTGCACCTGTACTAAAACAGATTACCCTGAGCTTATGTTTTACGTTTTTGCGTTGCTATATATCATTGATCATAAAGAATTTACTGTGATATTGTCTGTGTGTGTGTGTCAGTATGTATGTGTGTGTGTGTGTGCACATTAAGAACGTCAAGGTAATGAATATTATTTTGACGTCTTTGCCTTGACGTTCTTCATGTGTATATATACACACACACACACACACACACACATATATATATATATATATGCTGACACACACACAGACATACACTATCACACAGTAAACTCTAATATGATCAATGATATACTGTACAGTATAGCACTTCTGCACCTCAGCTACCCTGAGAGATTGGAGCGCCTGAACTTGCCTAGCTTATACTACAGACGGGCAAGGGGGGACCTAGTTGAGGTGTATAAACATCTCAGGGGGCACTACTCAGTCGAGTGTCCTTACTTGGAGCTGGCAGACGCTCGCCCCACAAGGGGTCACAGCTCAAGATTGAAGAAGCCGCAAGTCCAGAAAACCGTGAGGGCAAACTTTTTCGGAGTGAGAGTTGTGAACTCTTGGAACAATCTACCAGAGAGTGTTGTGACGGCACCGAGTGTGAGCTCTTTCAAGACAAGACTTGACCAACACTGGAGCAGGTTCAGGTACATTCAGGAGCCGGTGCATGCCCAGTATTTGCCAACAGTGCGTGACAGAGACGTGACCGATCGCCCAAGCGGCTAACAAGCCGATCAGTGGCGAAGAGGATAATAGTAAAAGTAAGTAAAAGTAAAAACGTGAACCACATCTCACTCCGCTGGTTACCATGGATACGCTACCCTCCCGCGCCCCGGGATTTTAGTTAGAAGTGTTGCCAACAGATGGCGATGATCGGAGCTTAGTGGCTCACGTATTGTCTATCGGTAAGGACAGGCTCTCCCATCTTGTTATAGTCTTCGATTACAACAAGGGATAACCTTACTGCGAAGTCAATTGAGCAAACGAAGATGTTTAAGTTCGACATATTACCAATAAAATCTAACACGTATCTTACTCTAAAGTACGTTATACAATGTTGTATTCTTAATTGGAATAGATAATTTTTCTTGGATATATACGCTGAAAAAATATTTATCTTACGTTAGATGTTCCTTTGATTACGTAAGGTAAAATGGCGTCGAAGTTAGTGATAAGCGGCGTTCCCGAAGATCTAAATGACGCCTTCCTCGACTCCACAGCCCAAAGTGAAGACATGACGGACCTCAAGATTGACCAACACGACGAGTTACCTGATTTAAAAGACGGCGCATAATTATGCAACGTCTGATCATAACCAACGGCGACAATCCCCATCAGAACGTGTGTGCCGCCAGGAAGGACCATCACACAGGCTGATAAACGGAAGGGTAAATTTGCATTAGTGTACACAATTCTGTTAGAAGGTTTAAACTATGTTTTTTTTACTGTTTTTTGTGTGTTTTGATTGGTTTGACCTTGATTTCCATTGGAAATTACCTGTTTTTTTTAGTTATCTGGAGTTTTGGGTGGAGCGTTTTCCGATAACAATCATGGCCAAGCCAATACGAAATACAAAAAAAAACGCTAGAAAAATATTAACCGAACCTAACCTGACCTAACCTAACCTGGTTCATGCCGTTTATGTTGGTCTTGACGATATTGATAATCGTTCTTGCACTTACAACACTTTACTGAGGTTGGGAGAACACCATATGAGATCTAAGATATGCTATAGTTTGTTCGTTTTTTCCCCAAGACGCGCAATTAACTCCATATAATTGAAGTGACACCCATCGCAGAATTCCATAGTCGGAAATGAATTTGAATTTCGAAATATGAGACCCAAAATATAAAAAGAATTTGACTGGACCAAAAACACCGCAAATAATAATAATAATAATATCCAACATTATGCTAAATACTAGTATATGGATAGGACACCACAAAGGCAGACACATTACCATTCAACTATCAAAAATTAATTTTGTTCCATAATTTTTACCGTTTTCTTTTGTATTATTGGTATAGAAAATGTTATTTATGTATGGATAACGCTTATTGTTTTCTATTTATTGCTAATTAACCTATAAATATCTTTAATTTTTATTTATTATTATTTTCGTTATATTTAATGCTGTTATTTGTGCTTCACGTGGTTCTACTAATTCCATCCTAGGAGTTGACGTATCACGCACGATTGTTTATCTACTGACTTAGGCTTTGCAGTTCAGACGTAGTTAATAGAGGATCTTTACCGTTTATTGGATGTTGCAGGTTAGTAAGTTCTTTATATTATTAATTTCTGGTTATATCAAATATCTCTGGTACATGTATAAGTTTCATGGTTCATCTACACGAGTCAGTAAATTACACCTGTGTTTACAGGGTCCGACTAATTACCCAAATGTAGCCAAATATAGCCGGAATGAAGTCAAATAATGGTCCTAGATGAATAAATCGGACTGCCAGCCACTTCTCGACTAGTATTTGGTGTCACAAAGTCACAAAAAATTGGAAAACTTACTTTAATCTGAGTTAATAGATCGAGTGCATGTACCTAACCTAACCTAACCTAACCTCGACTAGTATTTGGTGTCACGGTAACAAAAAATTGGAAAACTTACTTTAATCTGAGTTAATAGATCGAGTGCATGTACCGAGGGAGCGAGGAATTACCCAAATGTAGCCGCAATGAAGTCAAATGATGGTCGTACAAGCGTAATTCGGGCTGTGAATCACTTCTCGATTATTATTTGGTGTCATAAAGTAAAAAAAAAATTATAAACTTAATTTAATCTGAGTTGTGTTGTGTTAGGTTAGGTTAGGTTAGATTAGATTAGGTTAGGTACATGCACTTGATCTATTAACTCAGATTAAATTAAGTTTACCAATTTTTTGTGACCGTGACACCAAATACTAGTCGAGGTTAGGTTAGGTTAGGTTAGGTACATGCACTCGATCTATTAACTCAGATTAAAGTAAGTTTTCCAATTTTTTGTGACTTTGTGACACCAAATACTAGTCGAGAAGTGATTAGCAGTCCGATTTATTCATGTAGGACCATTATTTGACTTCATTGCGGCTATATTTGGGTAATTAGTCGGATCGGTGTTTACATGCATCAAGGGTGGGGAGGGTTGTTTAGCACATTGTAATCGGGAACACTTGTAATTGGTTAAGATTCAGCCACGGAATATTCTGTATTGATTTATATAGAGGGAGATAGACCAAAAAATACTTTTTAGACTTTTCTTTGGAAATTTATATTAATTGTTAGGTCACGTCCTTCTGGTTTCTCAGGTTCGGTTAGGTGGTAATTTATGAGAACATTGACCTCTACCACCACAAGTTTTTTGATTTCGTTCATTTTTCGCAGATGTTCTTATCATTTTAATAAGTATTTTAAGACAGGGTTATTATTCGTCCATTGGCTGTCCGCCATGTTTACCTGAGGTCATGCTCCTCTGTTGTCTCCTTCTTGTAGGTTAGGTTAAGTAGGTTGGTTCCTTTGGTATGAGAATAGGTTTTTTGTGTGTGTATGTGTTTTGCTCAAATTTGACCTCCATTTTTGTGCAAATTAGCGGTTTCTGTTGAAAGTGATTGCAAAAGCCGCTAATTTACAAAAGTAATGAAGGTCAGTTTTGAGTAAAACACTGATAAACATGAAAAGTAAAACTATTCTCGTGCCAAAACCTGAGGCCAGCCAGTGGACGAATATTTACCTAAGAGGTGACAACTTTTTATTTTAATCATGTTTTTTTTTTTTTAGTCGTTAGGTTAGGTTCTTGATCATTTAGATTGGCAGAAAAATATTTCCTCCACTATATTTGTGATGTTCTTAATAAACTGAATAACTTTTCATCTATTAAAAAGTTATTTACTTTGTTTCTTTAACTTGAGCACCTGTTCTTAATTATTAATGCGGTAATTATTCTGAACGTGACCGTCCGCCGCTTTTAATTGAAAATGGGTTTAAAAATACCTAGTTTTCACTTTCGTTATTAGATTATAATGTTATGGTGTGAAAAATATTAAAATGACTGAAATCATGTGCTAACCTAACGTAACTTAAACTTTATCTTAACTCGCCGATATCTAGAAAACTAAACATTTACACAAGAAAATAATAGAACTGAAAGTAATCAGTGTACAAAACTATGTCTAAAAACATCCCCCATAATTACCGAACCGCTGACGGTCATGAGTCATATATTTGCCCTTAACGCTTCAAAGCCCTGCCTACTTTGTTGTCAAAACCGGAAAGTGAGAAAACTGAAAATAAAAATTTTCAAGAAAAATGCTATAGAATAAAGTAAGCATCTTTTTTTTTTCCCCCTTACCTATATACAAATTATGTAGTGGATACAGGTATAGCAGTTGTACGCAAAAAATTACATTGCATCAAGGTATGACAGCCATATTGATGGACTGTGTTGTTAATGGTTTGGTTAAGTTAGGTAAGTTTAGTCAGAAAGAAGGCCATCTTAGTAACTATTATTGTACAGTCTGTCCACCACACATGTGCATTAGGCTGCCGTACTAATAGAAATCAACGTTTCACACATGGCTGCCGTACCTGTACCCTGTGCATACAAATTAATAGAGAGTTCCGTGGTTGTCCTTTATCCAATCTGTACCCACAAATTTTATAAGGAAACGACAAGTAGGTTGTGGCCTTTACAGCCTAATAAAATTAACAAGCCATCACTGGACGAAGCACTGCCAAATGTTGCTCTGTGTTTTTTCCGTTAGAATTGGTGATGCATGATTTTTGTTTGCTGGACACAAAAGGTGTGGAGGCCATGGCCTTCTTACTGTGGCAATATTGTACTGAAAGACACTTCCACACATTAACTACCAACTTGAGGGAACTTTTATAAAGTAATTGATGTATTTAACGATCGTAAAATCGTGAGCGTCGTTGTTGAACCAAGCTAATCTCCCTAACCTAATGTAAATATAATTGTTTCTCTAAAGAACAAATTAAGTTCAGTTTGATTAGTTTGGTTCTTTTTATAAACCGAAAATTATTTAATGTAGCAGTTAGTGATACTATATTTTGGAAAGTTCCCAATGTTACAGAATACCAACAATGGTGCTTGTAATTTTATGCTCATTACATACAGGATTACTGCATTGCCTCATGAAAAGTCCCTAAAATAGGAAGGAATGATTTATTTTTTGTAGTTTAAAATATTTTGTCTTTAACATGATGCCATACTGTGATACAGGTTGGACCTCGCTAATCCGGGAAGCTTGGGACCAGACCGGTTCCAGATTAGCGAAAATTCCAAACCATCGAAGCCGAGGTTAAAAAAAGGCAAAATAATGCATAAAATTTACTTTTACTGTCTAATTTCTTCAGTATAGACATCTTTCCTAAAATAGTCAATGCCACACGCTTACATTTTGTTGCATTACAACCACTTCCACTGCTTGCTGGTCTCTTATGAGGCATATTTAGGGGTAAATTATAAATATTTAAAGGTAAAACAATGACAACAGCCACTAGAAGTGAGCTATGACACCGTCCTGAACCATCGAAGCTGCCGGACTATCGGGTCTTGAATTAACGGGTCCAACCCGTACAACAATTTGTGCCAAGGCCAGACCACTCAAGTATTACTTAAGTGTGATCTTTGCTGCCTTGTGTACTACATAAAGTCTTCTGTGTTCTGTATATACTTGGGCCCTAATGGGTAGTTAAGGCTCTGGGAGCCCACTTGCACGTTACTACAGTACAGTGGGGTATGCTATAACGAACGTAATTGGTTCCAGAATCTCGTTCGTTATAGCATTCGTTCGTTATAGGATTAATCCGTTCCAGGCCCCCAAATACAACCGCTTAACACTGAAAAAATTCTGTGGAAAATGTAAAAAATACGGTACTTTATCTTACCTTAGTGTTATTCAGCATGCAGGTACCCCTAAACACTGGCACATCACTATCACTTCCACTGGGAGTCTTGGCTTTAAGGTCCTCAAACAATTGTTTAGCCTTCTCACAAATTATAGCTTCACTAATGTTACCACCTGCCATTTCTTTCTCCTTTATCCACACTAAGAGTAAATTTTCCATCTCTTCAATCACATTACACCTTGCTTTGCTAAGTCTAAAGATTCCCTTAGCCACTTGCACAGTTTTTAACTCCTCTTTATTCTTCAAAATCGTACATATAGTCGATTTAGCCATCCCATATTCATCACTAAGTTTCGCAATGCTTCTTCCATTCTCACGTTTCTTTATAATTTCTTTCTTAGTTTCAAGGGTTATTAGCTTTCTCACTCGCTTTGGACGACTCATTGTTACAATTGTATACTTGTATAACAAAATAGTTATACAAATAACGCGAATTTCCACATCAAAAGACGAAATTTCAACAATAACAGTGGTGCACTGGCTACACAATGAGACAAAGATGGCGCCTGACGCTCTTGTTGTGGGTCGCGGTACAACAATATTCATGCGCCAGGCGAAATAGTCCGGTATTCATCCGCGTTCGTTGTAGGAGTTGCGTTCGTTATAGCATTCTCAATTTTATAGGTAAAACCGTTCGTTATAGGAATATTCGTAGTAGGATCCGTTCGTTATAGCATACCCCACTGTACAGTGTATGCATTTGGGGAAGTTACTTAGAATAGACTGCATGGTGTTAGTCCTGATGAGTTGTTCCTTCTTAATGAAATATCACCATAGAATAAATTATTTCATAACTCATGACAACAAAAAGTGGAGGTCAAGTCATGTGTTGCATAATGTTAGATTTTTGGTCTTTTGTCTGAGGTGAGGACTCCAAAATCCACCAGCCATGTCTGCCATGTTCTTATCTCTCCTTATCGGTTCTTTTTAAAATATATATATCTTTCCCAGAATAAAATACTGTACAACAGTAGTATTTAGGTTAGGTTTCATCCATTAGGTTTGGGTAGGTATTTGTTTGGTTCATTTTATAAATGATGAATTAGAGATTCCTCTCTGAAACTCCTGGCAACTTGACTTGTGGAAAGTATTGTACAGCACCAGATACAGCTGCAGTATAATTTATGGTTTGTGGACTTAAAACTAACATACTTAATCAAACATAATCTGTCCTGTTTTTATCTTTTAAAAGGTTTTCTCTTCTATCGGTTGTACCTACAGACCATCACTGAGATGAAAACAGTGTGGCATTTGTTGGCAGCATCTAATCCACTACCTGAAAGCATTAGTAATTTTTTAAATTTATATAAGCAAAACTTATAAGTATTTATGGTCTATGGTGAAGTATCCTACAGTAGATAAGTTGAGGCGCACAACTAATCAGGACTAACACCGTCCACATAAGAGTTTCCTAAAGTTTCTCAAATTTTTTTATTGAAGTAAATAGAGAAGTGCTATTCCTCCACACAATTTATTTTATTTTCAGGTTTACAAGTGTTTTCTTCTATAGCTGTTTTTCCTTAACTGGCTGGTAAACTTGGGCTAGTGTCCTTAAATGTTACCTAAATATTTTTAAGCAATGTAAATAATTGTTTATTTTAGTTAGTTCAAAGAAATTAAAACTATTACCCTTTACTGCATCAAATTACTGTATAGTATCTAGGTATTGACGTATTTTATTTATCTTGCTGTACAGTACTAGACGACCACAGGAGGAGGATGGTCAACAGTGGTGGTGATAGTGTTGATGGGAGGACCACCAACATGTTTATCCACCAGCCCCATAGAGCATCTACGTATACTGAACGTCACATCTATGTATGCTCGGTATTATTACTTTCTTATGTATGAAGTGTATTTAGTATGGTGAGAGCCTTAATTGTGTAATACTGACATGTTTATATCTACATTCATAAGTCGTGAAAACCCAAATTTTTTCATTATCAGGAAAGTCACTTTTTAGATGAGGAATGTTTTTAAGTGTACAGTTGGGAAATTGACAAATTCCTAATGTATGGCATAAGACTTGGAAATTCCTCACTGCATTGATCATTATTATGGCAGTTTTCATCCCAGTTGAAATATGTACTGTACCAGTAACCATAATTTTTAAAACTACAGTATAGTCTGGGTTTATGCGCCTAATTAAGTCCATGGAGATCCGCATATAAAGCGAAACGCGTAAATAAAATAACAACATATGGGATTAATTGAAATAGAGACTGGGCCGACTGCCAGACTACCTTTTCTTGGGCTATCGCCAACACAATACGTACGTTGTAGTAAAAATAACATCTTAATTTTATGATGGTATGCACACACACAATTAATATTTAAGAGAAATATCAATAATATTAGGTTTTTTAACACTTACGTTAGTAGAAGAGATGGCTGGGCACACGGGGATGGTGGGTTGGTTCCGAGGCAGAGGGCAGATTATTGAACCTCGCCTGTATCACCTGTATCTCTATCCACCACAGAGGTTAGCAGGGCCTCCTTGTCAAATCCCTCAAAGTCCATATCCTCACTATCACTAACTTGGGCTGGCTCGATTCATTCACTCCATATTGTCTGGCCAGATCCACCTGCCTCGTGCCTTTTTCTAACTCCTGAACGGCCTTGTACTTAATCTCATAGCTTAAGGCACGTCGCACCTTCTTGAGCTTGGGGCGGCTTGGGCCAGGTAGTTCAAGGTTTCTCAGGGGTGGTGAGGGTCCAGCGGTAGCCATTGTGTAGAAACAATCACAGTCCGTGACGTCATCGGCATGAGTCTGACGTCATCGGCACAAGTCTGACGTCAGCGCCCATCACCTTGCCTGCCGCTTGCCGCGTAAATTAAGGAATGTATCGCGTAACTAATAATTGTCGCGTCTGGACAGGTGCCGCGTAAATGGCCAATCACGTATAAAATATCCGCGTAAACCCAGGCTATACTGTATTGTACATATCTAATGTAATTGTATATAAACAGTAATATCTTTGTTAGCCAGAATCCCTCTTAACCAGAACTCTCCAATTGCCAGAACTAAAATTTTCTAGGAAAATCATTCCCAAGAAGCATAGATAGTTTCTGGAAAATTCCAGGGATGGGGGATATTTTTAAGGCTTTGAGAGATGAAATGTGCATCATTCTGGAAATTTCTGAGAAAATTCTGATACCCAGAAAAATTCCGAGGATGGGGGATTTCCTTCCGGGTTCAAGAGATGATGTAATGCGCAATTTCTGGATCTTCGTAGAAAATTTTCCCATTACCCGGAAAATTCTGGGGATGAGGGATTTTTTTTTTCAGCTTTCAGAGAGTTATCTCATTACCCGGAAATCTCTCATTCCAGGAAGTGCTCTGCACTAATTATTCCGGCTAACGGATATATCACAAGATGAATTTATTGCTAAAGTCACTTGTAAAACATTACCTTTTATATTTAAAACTAGAATGAACTATTATGTAAAGTACCTTAATGTTTGTATCCAGGTATATATCAGTGTAGTGTGGTAGAGTACTGTACACACACCCATGAAGCCTTATATTGTATCACCAAGTTCAAAGTACAATACAGTAGTTAGTTCACAAATTGACGTCATAATCAATGGTCAGTTTTATCCGATACTTGAGTTAATTGGTGGTAAAGGTCGCTGTAGGGGGAGGTGGATGCTTTAAAAAGAGGTGAAGTCTAAGTCATGCGAACAGTCTTCCTGTGTTTGAGGAAAGATGGTATGACACAGTTCTGACCAATGTTGTGTTTCAGAAGAGGGTATAAGAAATAAATTGTCAAGGTTAAAGGTTCATAAGAGTCCTGGCCCTGACATGGTGCATCCCAGAGTGCTAAGAGAGTTGTGCAACGAGCTTGCCGTGCCCCTGAAGATCCTATTCTGTAAATACCTGGATGACCAAAAGGTCTCCAATGACTGGAAAATGGCTTACCCGGTATGTGAGTCCTATATTTAACAAGGGTGATCGTTACTCCATGAATAATTATAGACTAGTGAGCCTGACCAACATAGTGTGTAAAGTACTAGAGAACATGTGATGATAGAACATCTACAACCTTGTGAATGATTGCCAACTAGGTTTTATGCTGGGAGGCTCCTGCTAGACACAATTACTCAAGATGCTGGATGTTTGGACTCAAATTCTGGAACTGGGTGGTAATATTGACAATAAATATCTTGCTTTTGCCAAGGCTTTTGACAGCATACCCCATGAAAGGCTGAGAATTAAACTGGAAGGGTATAGGATTCAGGGAAGTGTCCTAGTGTGGATTGGAGACCACAAGTAGTGTCTGGTGATTAGTGGTACAAAATTGTCATGTGTATCTGTGACAAGCGGGTTACCACAGAGCACTGTGCAGGGCCCATTGTTTTTTGTTTGTTATAAATGACATCCCAGAAGCTATAAACTCTTCCATACAAATGTTTGTGGACGATGCCAAGTTATGCAGGGAAATTAAGAACGAAACAGACTGTAAAGAGCTACAGAAAGATCTCTGCCAGCTTCTAGTTTGGTCAAAAAAATGGCTGCTAAAATTCAAGGTCACAAAATCTAAGAGGATGCACCTAGGTTGTACCAACAGTAAGGAGGCATATCACATGTCCCAATGTGAGAAGGACCTGGGTGTGTATGTCGAAAACGAACTGAAGTTCTCGGGACATGGTGAGAAGAAGGTAAATCAAGCAACTAAACTAGTATATAGGTCTTGTATGAAGGTCATTCAGATGTATAGATGATCTGTCCCTTGTAAAGCTCTTCAAGACTGAGGTGCTTCCCCATCTGGAGTACTGTCACCCCATTTGGTCACCAAGGTTGATTGAAAATGTCCAAAGGAGGGCCACCAGGCTGGTGTATGCTACTGCATCTCAATTATCCAGAGAGATTAGAATGCCTGGAATGCCTGCAACTGCCTAGCTTATACTGTACTATACATGAGCCATGAGCAAGGGGCAACCTAATTAAAGTTTGTAAACATCTCAGAGAGTACTACAGTACTCAGTCGAGTGTCCATACCTGGAGCTGGTCGACACAAGGGGTCACAGCTCAAGGTTGATGAAGCCTCATGTCCAACCAGGAAATTGTGAGGGAAAAGTCTTTGAGTGAGAATTGTGGCCTTTTGGAACAATCTGCCAGAAAGTGTTGTGATGGCATTGAGTGTGAGCTCTTTCAAGACCAGATTTGACCAATACTGGCATAGGTACAGATACATTCCGTAGCCAGATCATGCTCAGTACTTGGCAACAGTGTGTAACAGAGACATGACCAACCACCCAAGTGGCTCTCAAGCCGATCAGTGGCAAAGAGAATAAAAGTAAAAAAGTAAGTGGACTCGGTGTAAGTGTTCTTGAGTTATAGTAGCTAGGTGTTATGTAGACTGACCATTGAAACTTACCAAGCCATTGGACAGATTATATTGAATACTTTTGTCGACCTATTGTGATGTAGATGGATTTTTTATGTGTTATGGATTGGTTTTTTTTACATGTTTGGGAGGATTTTTTACATTTTGTCACGATAGTCCTTTAAGGAACTACCAGATTTTGATTCTTTAAGGAACCCCCAGATTTTTATTACTCTACTTTGTTATTATATGAAACTTGAGACTGTTCTCGTGCATTGAATTTAAGACTCAGGGAAAATTAGACATGCAACTTTACATATAATTTTAATATAACAATTTATATAATATAACTTGGTTCATTAATGTTCACAACTGAATATAAGTGACAACATATCACCATTACTTCACTGTTGTCTGCCAACCACTATAACACTACAGACATCACCATCAGTCCACACTTCCTCATAGACACCATCAATATCTGTTGTGGTGTGGTGGTAAGAAGTTACATACAGTTCCTTGGTGCTTGTAGCAGTCTTTTGTGTATGGTGGGCTAGTGTGGCGACTGCATGGTGTGTTGTTGGGACTGGTAATGACTGCCCACACTCCTGGTGAAATTGGTGTTCCTCCAGCTGTCAGTTCTCCTTGCTCTCCTCTTCCCCCATTCTTTTATACCACACTCTGGAACAGGAGCAACCAATCAGCTGAAGTTCCACATAGCAGGAACCAGTTGGAAATTTAGGTTACACTTCTGGACAGTCTCGACCCTTTATTTATTTTATGGTGAATCCTTCGAGTTTAAGTTAAAACATTGAACCCCAAACTCCAGTCTCAAATCCCCCAAACCTCAGGAATTACAGAACCCACAACCCTTTGATATGAAGCCCCCTTATCCACAGGATCCTCAACCAATTGAATCTAGAAAATAATGTTATTTCATGACATGTTTGTTGGAGAGGATTTTTGAAGTTTGTGGGGGATGGCGTTTTGACGTGTGGGGGTGGGGTTTTGACCAGAGTGCAGGGATTTTTCATGTTTTGGGAGAGGGATGTTTTGTCACAGGAGATATTAGTTAGGTATCTGCAAGGTGGGGGAATTCTTGTGGGATTGAGTTGGAAATTTTGAGGGATATTTTTTTCATATACATCATGTAAATTACATTAACCTGTGGATACAATATGGGAAGTATTTTTGTGTGAATACCAGTTTAGAGCTGTACTGTACTTTGATTAATTAACTACTCAAAGGTTTTTCATATGCATACCCTTATATACAGTATTGATTTTATTAATAAATTTAGCAAGTTTTTATTAAGTACCAAGAAGGTGATGATTTATTCTTGTCAAAAAATTATGAATGGAACTGTTTTCCTCATGTCGTCAAGATGTTAATAGGGATGGCATAAGGACCCTATTGGAAAAAAAGCATTTTATGGCTTTGTTGTTATCCTTGGTCATATTGACTAAATATCAGTTATTCATACACAATGAATTAGATGCTTTTTCTGCCAGTCTGGTGGCATAGGCACCTCTCCTGGTGCTGTGGGGAAGATGGTTCTTACTCTGCAGTGCTGAGGAAAGTCATGCTGCCTGGGGGGTGACACTTTAATGGTTCTCGAGGAGGCTGACCTCTGGTATCTTTTAGAGGTTTATTTATTCTTGTCGCTTCCTTTTTGATTGTTTTATTTTCTGTCAAAGTTAGATATCAGTTCGCCTGAACAACATCAACCACAAGTCAAGGTGGAGTCTTCACCAGACTCAGAATAACTACAGTACTGTACTGTAGTAAGTTCATTTGTTAATGACAGAGAGAGAAAGCGAGGAGTGAGATAAAGATGATTGTACTGTACATATTGTTATTACAGTATACTCGATATTTTACCAGTATTTGTTATATAATTGGTCAACTTTGTCAATAACTGGATAAATTACTTAAGTTTGTTGGATTATATGGTGTGTGTTGCAAGCAGTAATGAGTATACAATATATAGAGTATTGAGATGGAGAGACCTAGAGGAGGTAGGGGTGTTGGGTGGTAGTAAGGGGAGCTTGTTTGCGTATAATCGCCTGACAGCAAAGTCGGCCAGCCAGGGCTGGGCATGTGATGCCGGGCATGGCACTGCCACTGTAGCTATCCCCATCATACAGTTAACACCTAACCTGTTTCTCTTGAGACTTTCAACACATAAGTTTAACTTGAACTTATTGTTTACACAGGTAGACTGTGTTTATTGCATTGGTTATCATTGTGACAACACAAAAATACGGCAAATTAAGTACTACTCATAGTAAGTGTTAAGATTAGACTAATTACATAGCTATGATTGTTATGTAAATATATATTAGATTAAACAATTATGTATGATTTATTTGAAATGCTAAAATGAATTGTATTCAACAGGTTTGATTGAATTATAACGTTCGACTTTAACGAGAAGAGTCCGATTAACCTTTTAATGCTCAGAAGGCGTTTACAGTGTGTTTAGTGGACATGGGCATAAACTTATTGATTTGTAATGAATTTGATCCTTTTTTTTCTGCCAGTTTTATATTACTGATATGTTTTCCCTTCATGTCTTTTACTGGTAATCCTTGGTTTCTCTATCAAGCTCCTCAGATCAGCCATCACACCAGACCAGGACCAGGACCTGTACGAGAGAAGGAATACTGTGGTCTACCTTACAGTATGTTATTGAGTTAGTTACTTTACAGTAGAAGTAAGTGGCCACACCAGTACTTAACAGATTATTTAACTATGTTGAGTTTTGGTGTTGCTGTGTTATTTGAACCTTTCTATAGATTTGTAAACTGACTTTAGACGGTGTTTAAGATTAGGTTTCTAACAGTTAAAACTGTGGTTAAGTTGTGTGGAAGTGAGACAATGACTTAGCACTATGCTGAAGGTGTTTAAAAGTGAGAAAGTGACTTATAGTGAAGTTTGTAGAAGTGAGGATATTAGTTTAAAAAATTGTGTATGGGAGAAAATGACTAATTACCTTCATGAGATTTAGAGTATAGTTTAATTTTTATACAAGAAGTTGGAGGTCAATACTGTAGGCGTAATATTTTTTAGGGTTTAAAATTCTTCCTTTTCCGCGGATCATTTACAGTGAAAGGTACAGTGCAGAGTGAGAGAAGGCTGGTTGTATATTAAGGTTGAGAGAGGAAAGGCTGTACAGTACTGTACTAAGTTAATGGATCGGGAAGACTGCCGGACGTATGACTGACGAGTATTACAGTAAAGGAGGGAAAGCTGTTGAGTGTATGACTAAGATAATACAGTACTGAAGTTGTATGAGCAAGAGAAAAGGCTGGTGATGTGAATTAAAACTGTGCTGAAATAATGAATAATTGAGGGAAACTTGACTAGAATGTAAGATTTACTGTACTGAAGCAGATAAAGAGTGAGGGAGGACTGTAGACTAGACTGAAGTTTTATACAAGTGAAGGAAGGATTTGTATTACTTAATCTGCACTGGATTTCTTTCTTTCTTTCTTTCGTTTCTTCCACATCCTAGGTTAGGTTTTATTTCATCAGAGCCAACCATAAAGAGAGTCATCTATTAACTGCAGCTGACCCCACCATAGTTTCATCTATCATTAACTGCAGCTGACCCCACCATAGTTTCATCTATCAACTGCAGCTGACCCCAACATGAAGGACATTTCATCTATCAACTGGAATCAACTGCATCTGAACCCCTTTCCCCTACCCCTTTAGAGCGGGGGTCAGAAGTCTCTTCTGGGAAGTACCTTACTCTCGGAGCATTATAACTCTGGGTTTATGGCTCGGACATTTCTGTATCTGGGATAAGGAGCTTCCTGGAGGAGGCGACTGGCCCTAGGAGCAGCAATTGCTGTATCTAGGTGTCAGCGTTAGGCTGCTTAGGTTCCCTTTTTTTTTAAGGATCTTCAGGCGAGCCTCTTCAAGGATACACTGAATCCTAGGACAAGGAGAGCCGGTCCTGAAGAAGATTGGTACCATTTTTTTTATCCTTTTGAGCTGGGGTCAGGGGGCTTCTTCCTAGAGGTGATTGGCTTTTGGACCAGCATGCTTGTTTGTCCAGTGGTTCCAGGAGTCAGGATCCTCTTGGGGGAGAACCTTGGCCCTCGGACCTGGCGTGAGCCAGGTTCAGGGACTCCCCTTTTTTTCTCATCTTAGGCTCTGTCTAAGGTGTCCTCTCAGTTCATAGTGGCTGGGGCACTGAAAACAGTTTGCCTCACCTTATGAATCTGTGAAGGGCACCTAAGACTTCTTTCACAGGAGCTGTTTTATCTCCTGTCTTAGAAATCCATTGATTTCTAAGATCAGAGATAAAAACACACTAGTGTGAAAGAAGTCTTAGGTGTTCTTCACTGATTCATAAGGTGAGATGAACTGTGTTCAGTGCCCCAGTCACTAGGAACCTAGGGAGGTCACCCTAAGGCCAAGCCTAATTCCAAGATGAGGGACTATGTCCCTCAGCCTTAGGGGGGGGGATTTGGGGAGAGCTCCCTCCCTGGAAGGGACTCTCCTCCTCCTGGAAGGGGAGGAGGACTCCCTCTCCCCTGGAAGAGGGAGGAGGAGGACTCTCCTCGCACCCTCCCCTGGAAGGGGGGGAGGAGCTCCCTCCCAGGAAGGGGGGAGGAGGACTCCCTCCCCTGGAAGAGGGGAGGAGGACTCTCCTCCTCCTGGAAGAGGGGAGGACTCTCCTCCTCCTGGAAGAAGGGGGACTCTCCTCACTCCTGGAAGAGGGGGGAGAGGAGGACTCTCACTCCTCCTGGTAAAGGGGGGACTCCCCCACTAAGTATTTTGTAAAAGTGGTTTTAAATAAAACTTTAAATTTCAATATAACTTTTATTTTATACTTCCAGTACATTCTATGATTACAGAGGAGAATTCCCCGCCAAGGAGGAGAATTCTCCCCCCTCAGGAGGAATTCTCCCCTCCAAGGAGGAGGGGGGATTCCCCCTGCTCCAAGGGGGAGGAGGATTCCACCCCTCTCCCAGAAGTGGGAGGAGGGATTCCCCCTCCAAGGGAGAGTTCCCAATCCCCCCTCCCTAAGGCTGAGGGACACCAGTCCCTCATCTTGGAATAGGCTTGGCCTTAGGGTGACCTCCCTGGGTTCTAGTGACTGGGGCACTGAACACAGTTCATCTCACCTTATGAATCAGTAGAAGAACACCTAAGACTTCTTTCACACTAGTGTGTTTTTATCTCTGATCTTGAAATCAGTAGTTTCTGCAGAGGAGATAAAACGGCTCCTTGTGAGAAAGGAGGGGTCTTGGAATTACCTTTCGCAGATTCATGGGTGTGTAACTGTTTTCAGTGCCCAGCACTGAGCTGAAGGGCTACCCTTGAACAGAGCCTGGGCATGAAAAGTCTGAACACAGTAAAGCCGAATCGAAAGAGCAGGTTGCTCCCGGAAAGGATCATTCATTCACTGGACAAGCACCAATAACTTTGTCCAAGCGATAAGCAGCTCAAGACTAAAAATATTTCTTCGGAACGACACTCGCGTCACAAATTCGGTCAGCCCATCGCGAAGAAACTGCGCTTAATCGCCAAGGAACTAAACGGCTGCTGCCAGGTCCCCGGCAATTGCTGCTCCCTGAAATAAGCCTCCTCGAAGTCGCGGATGCAGAAATGTCGGTGCATGAGGTTGTGGCAGGGTGAGCCCGCTTCCCGAAGGCACCTGACCCGACTCTAAGGGGAGCAGAGAAGGAATTCCGGAAATGCAGTTGATTCCAGTTATTGAAATGTCGCTTCGTGAGCAGATGTCGGCACGGTATTAGATGAAACATGAGGCGAGGGTCGCTGCGGTGTAGGCTGACTCACCAACAGACCAGCCAGTGAAACACAGCACAGGGCGTAATACCGTCGCTTTCGCTTCGCTTTTGTAAGCTTTTCAGTGCAATGCAGTCACTCTTTATCTGCTTCGGCCGCAGCCAGCAAATCTTTACATTTACAGAGACCCTCGTCCATTATTTCGGCACGGTTTTGGTCGCGGCCTTTTCTTTCATTTTGTATTATCTTCGGTCGCCCGCTAACGCTTCCCTCGCTGCTGGCTGCGCAAGATCGGTCATAGATCACGACGTCCCATCCCCAGCAGTACACGACGCTGTGCGGCTGCTCGGCTGGCCGGCCAGCTACGCACTGTTACGCTGCGCTGTAGCGCCGATAAGCGGCACACAAAAATATTAAGCCTACGGCGGCTGACACTCAACTTCTTCGCCAAACATACTCCCAAATGCCGAGCCGAGCCAGGCATTTTGCCAGCACAGCTTAGCCTTCACTGCAAGCTTCACTATAAGTCACTTTCTCACTTGCGCTTACCCCTTCAACTATGAGTGCTGAGATAAATACCGGCTCACAACCACGGTTTTTAACTGTTGAAACAATCGGCGCAGATCTGAAGTCATTGGTCGGTTCACAAATAGAAAGGTTCGGCTGCAGCGACGCCAGAGCTTCGGCATATTATGTCTGTTGAAGTGCTGGGCAGCGGCGCTGCACTGTGGCAACAGCCAGCCATAACATACTGGCGGAGGCCAGGCGTATACCGTGGAGTCCTGGTCTGGTCAGTGTGTGGCTGTCTGAGAGCTTGATAAACAAAAGATCACATGAGATTGGCCCCAATTATTGTCGCACGGTGGATTGGCGCATGGCACTTAGAGTAGGTTGGGTGGGTTGGGATTGGTTAATCTTAAGGTTAAAGAAGCCAGAGAGGTGATCCAAAAATAATTTTCACTGATAATTCTGAAGGAAAATGAACTGACGATCCTTATAATGTTTAACTTCACAATTAAGAGGAGTTTCATATTGTCTTAACCTACCCTTTGTGGGATAAGACCCATCAATTATTTGTTCATTGAATATCTATATGGAAATACACTGTACTAACAGTTGTATACAGATAGGAAAGTGACCATTAATTATGTGCCAGTTGTGCATCAACATTCTATGGTACTTAGCACTTGAGTCTATGTGAACATAATGTGCAGTATACTGACTACTGTACAACAGAGATAGTGGCCATTCATATGTTGACCTCCTAGTTGCCAGTTTAGCGTTGTTTACGCCGTCTACCTTTAATGCCACTTGTGACAGTTTTTTTGGCATTTATCAAAGCCATTGTTAACAATTATCTCGTGTTAGATAACGTCTTATATGTAATGGTATTTCTCCAGATTTTTTTGTATTTAGCAACTTTGCTGATAAATCTAGTGACATTCACTGACCGAGCTGCTGCAGCCCAGCCAGCTGTTCCCAGGTGCCTGTCTTGTTAACAACTTTACACCACATTCATGTAAACATTTATAAAATCCTGGAGCATTATATCAATATACAATAACTGCATTTTTTTTTTAAATTTAACAACAAATATTACAAGTTATTGCCTCAGTAACGTTTGTTTGTAAAAAATCGCAGTTAACACCGAAAGATATTTTGAAGGGTGTCGGTGTGTGTAGGGACACCCATAATGTGACTAGTGTAAACACTAAACTTAAGCGGAGTTCAGTAACATTTACTCTTCTGGAAAAATGCTAGTTAGGTAAAACTTATTTACGAGTGCTGGAAATTATGTGACCGAGACCTGCCGGTACAGCAAAGTGAAAACCTGGTTCTAGCGGTGGAGCGTATTTAGAGATCGACATTGTATACCCGTTGTATAAGACGACTCTTAGTTTTAAGAAAACAAATTGGAGCTTCAAAGGTCAACTTACAGGCCACTGTACTGTACATCTACAAGATTAAAGTTGGACTCACAAACAAACCTCCAGAACATAACTCATTCATCAGTAGAGCTCCTCCTATAGTGGCTTATAATTGTCAACAGTACATCATTTGGGGGAAGTATTTTCATCGCAGAAAAGTATCTTGGCTTTTATAATGGGAGTCTATGGAAAAATTGATGTGATTTACTAAAGGTTTCTCAGGAACAAAACTTTTATAAACTGAGGGATATCTGTAGAACTTTTCTAATATTAAAAGTACCAGAAAATATTAAATAAAATACCAGATAGTAATTACGGTCCAGTTCACTTCAGGTCTAGTTCACTGCAGGTCCAGCTCAATTCAGGTCCATTTTAGCCAGTGGGGCAGAAAGTATATGAAAACATTACTTAAGACAAAGTACTGCACTGTTACTATGTAAAAATTAAAACTTGTAGAAAGTACAGGGAGTCCCAATCGATATGAACGGTGTTAAACATGAAATTTACAATATATCATCAAATGATATTTTTTACTTTCATTTACTGTATTGTCAATCTATTTCTCTTTTGTCTTAAATTAATTGATTTTAGATGTATATAAGGACTTAGGCTGTGATATAGTGTGATTTTAAACATTGTTCTGTAAGTATGGTATGCTCATGGCGCGTGTTCCGACTTAAGTACAAATCCGAAAAAGAATGTCACAAGGAACGGAACCTGTTTGTAAATTGGGGGCCCCCTGTAATCTTCTTCAAACTACTTTAATAATAATAATTTAATTAACTGAAGTGAAACAAAAAACTAGAAAGATGAAGAAAAAAAAGTAGTATTAGTAAAAGTGCACCAAGGCTATACAGTCTACTGTAGGTACACAAAATGAGCACTTCTAGGCATGCAAGACTATATAGCCTTGGTACATAAAATGCACAATTCTGGTACCAAGGACTATATAGTTGGTACACTTCAAGGCTACAATATACAGCTACTCCTCGAATTACGACCTACTGGACATGCAACCGCCTCGGTCGTACCAAATTTTTTTTCAAATTACGTACAATAGAATATAGTACAGTACAATATAGCACAGTACAATATAGCACAGTACAGTACAATATAGTACAGTATAGTATAATATAATACAATACAATATAGTACAATACAGTACATTATAGTACAGTGCAGTACAATACAATATAGTACAGTACAATACAATATAGTACAGTATGGTACAGTACAATATAATATAGTACAGTACAATATAGTACAGTACAGTACAATATAGTACAGTACAATACAATATAGTACAGTACAATACAATATAGTACAGTACAATATAATATAGTACAGTACAATATAATATAGTAAAGTACAATACAATATACAGTAATACAGTACAATACAATATAGTACAGTACAATACAATATAGTACAGTACAATATAATATAGTACAGTACAATACAATATAGTACAGTACAATACAATACAGTACAGTACAATACAATATAGTACAGTACAATATAATACAGTACAATACAATATAGTACAATACAGTTGTGAAAAACACAAATGTATGAGGCACTCGGTGGAAGCGAGTTAGTGGTCAAGCAAGATGTTTGTTTCAACAGTTGCCAGAGGATATACAGTATAAAACTATAAGTGTGGTGGGATACAGTGTAAACAAACTTTAACCTTGCTTGTGGTCTTGGCACATACATCACTCTTCCACCAGGCACCTCACATTATGTACACATTGAATCATTTGACATAAATACTTCAAGTCAAGTTCTGCAAATTAATTATTTTTCCACTACAACTTAAATGAACTTTGTTAAGTAGTGTTTGGTTAATCCACACAAGCATGATGGTCCATTAAGAGCAGTGTACTGTATACTGAACCTTGTGATTAACACTGCCTTCACTTCCCCAACAGGTGAACCTACAGTACTGTACATTAATTTACATGTACAGGTATCCTCTAACATACTGTATAGCACTAAGGGTTCTAAGTTAAAAAACATATTGAATGGTAGAACTCTTGTATTATGTTCTGGGAGGGAAAAATCAGTCAACTGGTGGGTTTTTCACCAATATAATTCTTGTAAAATAATAAATACATTAAACACAACCAACATTCTGCAATAGTGCCAATGCACCACTGGGCTATACTGACCGTGTGACTGAGGGGAATTTGTTAAGTCAAACTGATATTTTTGTAATAATGATTGTTCATTTATTGGACATACTGTAAGTATCTTGGGGGATACCTATACTTTATTAAATTATATGATGAGCCTATCTGTGTTAAACTGAACCCTGTAAGTTACTAACACACAGTTGCTAACTATTTTAATACCAATGACAGATAACACTCTCCTCCTGTACTGTAGTCTTCAATCACTATTACATCAAGGCTTCAGTTCACCTCAAATGGTAACATAATCTGCCAAGAATCAGTAGATAAGTTTTCTTCTGTACAGGAGCAGTGATATAAGGTGCTGTGCTGTGTTGCTGCAGGACCAGACGTCTCCTCCTGTGTCGAGTACAACTTATTACAGAAATATCAAGATACACCATATGTATGGCACTTAGATAAAATACTTAACAATGGTGTGTATGTATGTATGTGACAAGTGTATTAGTGCAGAATTACAAGGAGTTAGTTAATATTTACACCTTCACAACACAAGAGCCAATGTGAACTTGGATGGTAATTTTAATGACTAACTAACGATTTATTTATCCCATACTTTAATGGAAATAATCTTTGGATGTCCTTCCTAAATTATCCTTGGTTTTGTGGACTTACATTGTGTATTTGTAGTACATGATGAACAAATATAAACTTGTACAATATGATGACTTTATTAAACACTAGTTGGTGCACGACCATCCCTTAGGCTACCAGCACCTCTCTGCACAACTAATGCTGGTCCAAGCAAAAGGCACCTCCTAGCAAAATAACCTGATCTCTGAGCTAAGAGGTAAGGGTCATCTGAAGTTCTTTCTTCCAGAGAGAATTCTCTTCCAGTTCTCTGGTCAAAAACTTCCAGATGAGAGATTTGACAGTGAACCTGTGAGGGAGGCCACACATACCCAACGCACATGGTATTTTGAGGTAACAAGCTGTGCAGTTTTAATCAGGCTAACTACAGTCCTAGAATTAGCTTCCTGATCCATACTAAATAAATTAGGACAACTTATCCTTGACCTATAATTAGGCTAAACATTTCAGACATTACACTAACTTAGAAAAATAAAAGGGGGTCCCTAAACCAGATTAATACTGGTCCTAAGACCAACAGACTGCTGACCCCTGGACCAGGCTAATGGTCTCTGGATCACTCATCTCTCCATACAGTCTCCTGATCCCAACTGGTAATGAAAAAAATACCAAGGTTCACAATGTTAATTACTCGCCAGCTATGGGTTTCCAAGGTGAGATTTAGGTGTGTGTGTGTGTTATTCTGTATGTACCTAATTAGTTAAACCTCTTAAATTCCAATTCTGAGAGAAAAGTATATTTGGTCAAAAAAAATTTTTGTGTGTTTTCTCATGGACTCAAACTGTGCCTACAATACACCATTCACAGGGAGATACAGTGTACACAGTGATAGCACCAACAGATATAGAGGAGAACGGGAAAAGAAAGTACTGTAGTATAAGGAAATAATAGTTAAAATAAAAAAATAAAAATAAAAACAACAAGTTTGGCTATCCTAAAAGGCAGTCTATTACTGCCCCAAAGAAAGATTTATTTTATTTTTCTGGGTTTCTTAAGGACTGAAAGGGTGTATAAAATCCATTAGTCATAGCACAATGCAGTGTACATAGAGATAGCACGTAAATACTGACAAATTGCAGAAGTGAACTGAAAAAAAATAAGAGAAGACAACCCTAAAGGCAACAGGGGAGGATAAAACCAGCAGAGGGCAGCTAAGTACTGTTTTTTTTTCTTTATTCTTAAATAAATGTAGATCTATACACAGTCTGCACCCCCCCCCCCACCAAACAACAACAACCATGAGTATGATATGAGATTAATGCGGGGATAACAGATATGGATGATACAGGCCTGACTAATGCAACATTTAGGACGATGCAAGCTGCTGTAAAGCATGAAGGCTGTTGCTGGTATTGCCCTGACTGCAGAGTCAAGGTGAAAGAGGCGATTGCAAGCCAAAGGGGAACGAGTTCCCTAGGGACGAAAATAGATGACGCTAGAGCCTTGCTGGTTGCCAAACTAGGACAAGTTGGGAAAGACATCCTTGCTAAGACTGAGGAAGTAGCCAATATAATGGAGGTAGTTGTTAAGAGAAGTTATGCCGAGGCATTAGCAGGGCTACTGGAGGTGGGGGAGAGTAATTTAGGATCAGAACAGGTTCTACAGCAGCTAGGAACCCTGAAGCAGTGTGTCGAAGAAATGGAAATTAACGGACCTACTGTTAGGGGAGAGGAGGAACAACTGGAACGTTTCCAGCGCAGGAACAATGTAATAGTTTTTGGAGTCCCTGAGAGCCAGGCGGAGGGAACTTAGAGTAAGATACTCAAAACACCTCATAAGTTACGTCTTTTAGCATGACACAGTACCATATATTGTCGAATCTTTACAGTACCGTAAATTTAGCATACTCAAAATTTAATTACAGCTCCGTAAGCCTTTCGTAAGTTTTCATAACTCTAGTGTTTACCCTGTAAATTAAGTTCTCTTGTCGGAAGGTAGATGTCAGTGCAGGAGCTAGTTGGCCAATCAGCGCTCAGTTAACAAAATCATCAATCAATCACAAGAGAAGGAGAAATCAGCTGAGAGCGACGCACATAATATTATTTTGTAAACATGGAAGGTCCACCAGCCAAGAAGAGACAGCCTAATTTCAGTGAGGCTGAAGTATACGCTATTCTGGGTAAATTCAAATAAATTGGTTATTGATAGCATAGCTTTGCCGAATCTAAATGACAAATCATTTCTCTTAAATTACTCATTTAGCCTAGACCCTGGTGTTTTCCTTTCAATGTTGGGGACATTTGGTCTGAATTGTCTTCAAGCTCATACAAAAAACAACAATTTAAAACCTGAAAATATATCGGATTAGCCGTAAATTTTCTTCAATTAATACTCTACCTATGATAATGTTGAAAGTCTGGAACTAGGCCTAAGGTAGCTGCTAGACAAAGTGTCTCACTGACGACCTGAAACTCACCAAAAAACCATGTACACATTCTCTAACCTAACCTAACATACCATAACATAACCAAACCTCTATAACCTATTGGTATAATTTCTTATTCAAATAATCCTCATGTTCTAACTAAATTAAGTAGGCCCCAAGTTTAAACATTTATTTGCCTAAGACTGAAAAAGAGTTATATAGGCCCCAATTAATCAAGTTAATTGCAATCCATATGTTACGCCTAATATCGTTTAATTTTGGCTAGCCTATGGAAATTTATAGCCTTTCATGTTATCATAAGCCATATACATAAGAAAATAGGCTAAGACTATTGGTTGAATATTAGAAAAACAAGGTGAAGTCTTGGCAGGAATGTTCACTTGACTTCATATTGGCTTTCATTACTGAGGGATATTTACGGCTATACAACATTAATAAGTTCTATCTGCAAGTTTACTCAGTCATAAACATATTTTTACCCTAAGTGTGAACAATACAAACACTCAAGCCGCTTATTATGGCAACAAAAAAGTTACGAAAAAGACAAAGTGAAATATTATATTTCAGTATGTTGGTATACAAAATATTTTCTTCATTATTCTATGATAAAACAAGTCAACATTATAACATATATTATTATTATTTTTTATACAATAGGGAATTAGTCACTACTACATCCGGGTTGAGAGTGTTACACAACCTCAGGAGCTGGTGTAAGTTACGCACTTTAACTTACGGAGTTCGATGTCAAATATTTTTGAGTATACCATCTGTGTTTTGAGTATGCCAATCTGAGACTGTAAGTCCAGTTACGGGGTACACAACGACATACAGTCCCATAAATGTTTTTGATAGTACAAGAACAGGAGAATTGACCCAGAGGAATGCGAGTTCAGTATAGCTGGATATGACTCATTTACGATCCTTTCTCAAAAAACTTGCAAGAGGGGTGTGGTTATCTATGCTAG